AGACAACTCTCTAGCTGTAGTGAATTCCATTACCTGAGGGGTTTCAATCTTTTAGATGCCACAGACCCCCCAAATATGCCAAAAAATGTTAAAGCTCCTATATGTTTTAATTTATAAAGACCAAATGTATACTGCGAAAAAATATATAAGTACGCATAAAATATTATTTTGAAAAAAAAAAATTCTGAAGTTACATTGTTTTTTTCGACTCACCAAAGTACTGTACTGTTAGATGTAGTATTTACATACATTTTTTAAATTGATTTTTATTTATTTATTTTATTCAAATTATATATGAAAAGTTCATTCGTTTATTTTTTACATTTATTTTCTTTAATTCATTTATTTTTACACTGTTTTTATCTAAACTTTTCCATGGACCCCGAGCACCTAGCACTTCCCCAGACCCCATTTTGAAAGCCCCTGCATTACCTGATCTGCCCCGAATGGAGTGATGTTTGATTTCACAGCTCCCACGCCAACGGCCACCAGCACCAGACCACTGAATATCGCAGGCCCACAGTAGGACGGCCGATTCATGCAGGTCACATTGGCAGCCACAGTCCCGTTTTCAGGAAAACAATCTACCGGCTGCACTGGGAACGCAATCTCTTCTCCGCACAGAGAGTTCCTGGTGCTGTCATTGGCCACAAAGGGAAAAAGCAGCATCCCGATCAGGTACAGAACTAAACTCAAGGCTATGGTTGCGAACTTGCCAAGGCACGCATCTGCCAGCCAGCCACCAAAAGGCGATATCAAATAAGTGACTCCCATGAAGATCAAGGGGGCCTGGCTGGCCGAAGTGCCCTCCCAATAGAAGGGGCTGCTGTTGAGGAAGAGCACCAGGTTCGAGGTTATGCCATAGAAGGCCATCCTCTCTAAAGACTCTGCCAGCAGTATGGCAGCACATGCCAGTCTCCTGCCATTGAACACTGACTCTGATCTGGTTGAAGTCACAGAGTTGTCCAAAAGAGGAGTGCTCTCGTTTACATCCCTGCCAGCCATGGCCTGATATGCTGTTTCTCAAGAGGTGGTCAGCTGACCAAAATCCAAACCTAGAACAACAACAAAACGACTGTCATTATATTAAAAGCATGTGATACCAAAAAAACACACATGATGCAATAATGGGAATTCAGGAAATAAATCACGACAGAGTCTAATAAAATAATGTTTCATGTATTTCTTAAACTTACTGACTTATTTGTATATTCTGAACCAGTCATAAGACAATATGAAAGGCGGCTGACATGCTGTCAGCAACTTCTATATTTTACTCAGTAAACAGGTTAACATGCATAAACAAACATAAGTAAACATACCGTTCTTGAACACTTAGCACTGCTCCACATTTAGCTGTTCAGCCCGCGACGAGTTTACCAATGTCCTCAGAATACATGTTATTAAAAATATTAACTTAAAGTTCCTAAAGGTCTCACGGTATGAAGTTTAGCTGTGGGCTCCGAGGGTAAACAGCCAGTCACAATACTACCGCGTAACACCCGGTTCACTCACAAGCGTCAACGTGACGCTCATCAGATCTGAATGTCATCTGGATGCGCTTATCCAGTGCCAGTGAGGGGCATCAGGTTAATCGGTTTGTATACAAAGCGTAGAGTTAAACTGGCAAGAAAGCCAAAGGCCACTACTGATTGGATAAAGAGAGGAAAGAAAGTGTTTATTCTATTGGCTAGTCTTGAAGCCAATCAATTCTGCACCGAAGCTTCCTGGGTGATGCTTTGCCTGTCAGGTACATTTTAAATATGGCTAGGTTATGGTAATTCCACTGACCTATAATAGAGAATATATAGATCAGTGGTTAGTCACACCCTTTTTACGATGTGTTTTAATTCATTTGTGCATATACCACTGAGGAAAAAAGATGATTCTCTTGTTATTTTTTTTTTTTTCCTATTATGTTAAGAAATCATTTATTCAGGTTTTGGGCTTATCAATCTGCATCTTATCCCTGGATGTTTTACGCATACATTACATACATAATATAGGCCTATTCTTAGGTCACAGTTGGGCACTGTCAACATTTATTATGAATCATTATGAATATAATTTAAATAGATTGATAATACATTTATTTGTTTATTAACCATTTATTGCAATGTTTTGTTTATGTATAGATTCACACTTTCTGTGATTTGCGGGCTTTTGTTAAAAGGTTTATACATATATACATTGTGCATACACCTCTTAGAAACATATGCTTAAAAAGCATGTTGACATCTCCAGCATTATGGTTTTTTTTCTATTATGTTAAGAACTCATTTATTCAGGTATTCATATTTTCTACTATCCATAATTCATCCATGACACAAAATTTTAGCGTTGAATGAACCATATGATTTGATAAACTAATTAACAATAATTAATTAACAAAAGTATACAGCCTAATTATTTTGACTAATACATATACGTGTGTGTGTGTGTATAATACCAATATTTATTATATTAATATACAGTATAAATGCTTCCACACTGTAAAATCCTATAGTTTACCTTATTTAGATTTAACTAGTTATCTTTACTTAGTTGTTATACTTACTAGGTTTTATTAAGTTACAGCTACTTTCAAGGCAAATAAAAGAATTTACTTACTGTTTTGAGTGACACTTACTTAAAGGGGTCATATGATGTTGCTAAAAAATAACATTATTTTGTGTATTTGGTGTAATGCAATGTGTTTATGCGGTTTAAGTTTCAAAAAACACATTATTTTCCACATAATGTACATTATTGTTTCTCCTCTATACCCCGCCTTTCTGAAACGCGTCAATTTTTTACAAAGCTCATCGGTCTGAAAAGCGAGGTGTGCTCTGATTGGCCAGCTATCCAGTGTGTTGTGATTTGCTGAATACCTCAAGCGTGTGACGGAAATGTTACGCCCCTTACCATACTGTGTTTCCATGTGTCCCGGCGTGACGAGACAAAACCAATAAAACCCATTACAAACGAGGCATTTGTTGCATCCAGTGGGGACATAATTACTGATTATAATGACTTATACTGTGTTTTTACGTTTTGCGTTGCGCATTGCGCCGCGTAAACATAAAACCATGTCTGCATTTGTGATCGGAGAATGACAAACAACAAGCGCTACTCTACACTGCTCAAAACTCGCATTTGAATCATCGGTGGCAAATCCTTTAAATATGAAAA